AGAACGGTCAGAGAGATGCAATATTGCTGGCTCTGAAAATGGAAGAAAGGAATAGGATATGTGGGTGACCTTAAGAAGCAGAAAAATCAAGGAAAAGATTGTCTCCTACAACCTCTAGAAAGGAATGAAAGTCTGTTACAAACTTGATTTTAGCCAAGTGAGGCCATTCATAATTCTGACATTAATTGTAAGATGATGAATTGTGTTGTTTTAAGCCCACTATTTATAGTAAGTTATTATGGCAGCAATATGAAAATAATACAGACTTTGGTTTTTAAAAGTGGGTTATGAATCTAAAACATTCCTAAAAATGTGGCAATGGCTTTGGGAAGTGGGTAGAGGCTAGAAGAATTTTAAGTAGAATGATTGAGAGAGAGAAAAAAAAGCCTAGATTGCCTTGAGCAGTTTATAGAAATGTGGATGCTGAAGACCTAGGGAGGACTCAGAAGGAGGAAAGACATGGAAGAGAACATCTATGCTGTCTCAGAGAATTCATAAATCATCCTGAACAGCACAAGTATGTACGAAACCTTGATTTTAGGCCAGTGAGGCTCTAGTCAGACCTTTAGAACTGGAAGATAAAAACCTGTGTTGCTTTAGGTTACAAAGTTTTTGGGAATTTATTACAGCCACAACAGAAAACTACCACCTTTCATAAGATTAAAAAAAAGAGAGAGAATACTTTACTTTTATATGATTACTTTACATCTTTCAAATAGGCAATTTATATGTTTTTAAATGCTCACATTTTTGTTGCCTTTTCATTTTAAAATCTATGAACTTTATAGACTTTGTTGGGTATCTTTTCAGATTTTTCCTGCCTATGTATTAACATATTTAGAATTATATTACTTATCTGAGGTAATCTATTCCTACTGTAACATTTCCCTTATTTTAATCAGTATATCAAGCACACATTTTGTCTATTTAACAGTAGATACTTTTATTTCATTCCTGTTTTAATTTGCATTATTCTAATTTTTTAGTGTAGTTGAGCATTTCTCACTGGTTATTGGTCATCTGTTGCTCTTCTACAAATGCCTGGTATCTGTCTTACCAGTGTTGCTGCAATGTTGGTTATTTTTTAACCATGCTGTCCAATAATAGGTATATTAACATATTGCATGTTAAATTTTGCAAATGTATATTGTTAATATTTTGTCTCATTTAATGTTAATTTTTAGGTTTTCAATTGTATGTTTTTTCCTAGAGAAGTTTGAAAATTTTAGATAGCTAAATCTGTCAGGGTTTTCCTTTATGGCTTTACATAAAATTTATACAAAGGTTTTAAAGATTTTATATTTGGTTCTAGAATATTTGAAAGTAGGTAAACCTGGTTAATACATTTAACAACCTTTTTCTTCATAAGTTGGAATGCCCTTTATATGCCTTTTCTTTCCTGTATTCATGGATCTGTGTCTGCACTCTACACTGAAGAGCTGTACTAGGGCAGTTTCCTTCTGGAAGGAAGATTCAGGGCATTTGTGAATCACAGATATAATTATGCCTCTCTATCTCCCATACTTCCTAGGTGTTTCCTCCTCAGGTGCCTGCATCTTTGCTCTTCCTTCACTGCTAAAAACCATCCCACTGGCTGCAACTTCATCTTTCTTTCTAATAATCATTTGTCACTCACACTTTTCATGCAGAAGGGTCAGATACAAGCAGGGCAAAGTCATTTCCAAAGAATATAAACAAATCCTCTACCTGTGGTCGGCAAACTGCAGCTTGCGAGCCATGTGCAGCTCTTTGGCCCCTTGAGTGTGGCTCTTCCTAAGCCTTAGGAATACCTTAATTAAGTTAATAACAATGTACCTACCTATATAGTTTAAGTTTAAAAAATTTGGCTCTCAAAAGAAATTTCAATCGTTGTACTGTTGATATTTGGCTCTGTTGACTAATGAGTTTACCAACCACTGCTAGGCATTCCGAAGCATGGGAAAGAATGATGCATCCTTACCAACAGAACAGAACTCAGATTTTCAGAATTGATCTAATACAATGCCGTTAATCCCCAATCACTTTTGTCCTAATCACAATGCAGGAAAGAGCTGATCCCTTTCTTTATTTCTGTTTTCTCACTACCACCTATTTTTTTTTTTTTTAGGTACTGTGCATCTTGGGAAAAAATCTACTTTAGAAAAGGCTGAGAGGAAAAAAAGTAAGAGTGAATAGATTTTGCTTGCTTTTGATGTAGAAATGAGTTTTTAAATACCAGAGATTCATCATTATTATTATTTATAATATTGTGGTAGGTAGAATGATGGTGTCTCAAGGATGTCCGTGCCTTAATCCCTGGAACCTGTAATCTGTTATTTTACATGGCAAATGAACTTTGCAGATTTAATTCTACTAGGGACCTTAAAATGAGGGAGATTATATTTGAT